AAAACTTAGACATCATTGATGACAATATTGAGTGCAAAAACAAAAGAATCCATTGTGTGAAGACCAGCACTTCTAATGGTTTTCTCAGCTTTATATTTTTAAAGTTAGCATTATCTTAAAATATAAAACTCATGAAAATCTGATATAAGGAAATTTATTCAAGCTCCAAGTTTCACTGAGAATATCATTATTTTAATCAACCTTCTCAGTTATACCTTCTTGCCACCCAACTTCTGCTTACTTGTAATTAAAGTATAACACTGACTTCACCATGTTATATACTTACCAACACAGAAAAATCTTTAAATTTTAGTTCTGGGTAACCTTTCATTTTTTCTTCTCATTTAGTAAGAATAAAAAGGGGCCACTGAAAAAAAAAGACCATTCCAAGCAACTGGAAATGAAGAATTCTTGTGTTAGAGATTGAAAGTAATTAAAATCTCCTCTACCTAAATTTTCTCTATGTATACATAAGTGATTCCATTTGTTTATTTGTGAAAACGTGTGTTAATAGACCTATGTGCCAAAGGTGTGAAAGAGAGGAAAGAGAACTAGGCAAGCATTAAAATATTCAATCATTTCATAATTTCACCCCTCTGAGAAGGCCAATTTCAGCAAATACATCAGAGGGAGGACATGATTCTGAATGAAGATTTGAGCCGGTCATCTTTCACAAGATTGTTATATATCTATATAGTCATGAAAGCAACACAAATGACATGGTGTTTCTTAAAGAAAAAAAAGAATATCTTCAGCTGGAGTATTCAGAGAAAGCTTAACAGGACAGATGACATTTAACATGGACCATTTGATAGAGACGGTGGTGGTGGAGTGTGAGATATATTGTAATTTAAGAGTAAAGTAAGTCATTAAAGTAGAGTGACTTAAGAGAACAGAGAGCAGCCAGGGTATTTTGGAGCCTATTACCAAAATATAGGAGAGAAATATTAAGTATAAGTTTATAGGTTGATGACATAAGGTTAGTTTCTGTTATTGATAGCTATTGTGAAAATATATTGTTTTAAGTTTTAGCTCCATTTTCTATAACAGAATGTGAGAATTTCATCTAGTAGTGTCTTTATGATTTTCCTGGTCTATCTTTAAAAATATATATCAGATATTATTTGAAGGCATTGGATCAGGAGTGGTATTAGCTAGGTTTTCCTGAAACTGTTTTTCTTTCTCAGAGTGAAAGTTCCTTATCTCTTTGGCTCTGAGTCTTCTTATCTCTAAGAAAGGAGTTGGGGCTGGATTATTCCTTGAATTCCTTCTAGATATGCTTCTATGATATGGAAAACAGTGCAAAAGCACCACCCACTGAATATTTTTTTTTCAATAAAACGTTTCTTACCCACTGATTTTTATTAAATTGGAATGTCAGTTTCTCACTTTTTAAAAATAAACTAGATCATGGAATCTTCACTCTGTTTCTATGCTTGATCTTTGTAAAGTCTTAGTTCTTTAAACTTTTTTTTTCAAATTTAATTACAGCTCTATAAGAGAGTTATTATGCACAATCCAATAGCTTTACTTAGTAGATGCTATGTAATGATTTAGTGATTTTGAAAATTCTGTAAAATTACAACACTTCAGAGTGGAAGTAATTTTAAGAAAACTTTATCTGATTTCTACATTTTACACACAGGGAAAGTGGGATGTAGAGAGACTCAATGACTTTCTGGAATTCACTTGCCAATTCGAATTCCACTGTACCATTGTCCCTAATCTACATGGATGAGATTGAATGGGCAAATGATATGAACATAAACATCTCTGACTTTCTAAAGATTGCTAAAATGTAGTTTTTGTTTGTTGTTAATTGCAGTACTAGGTATTGAACTCAAGCCTTTCACAGGTTAGGCAAGTACTCTACCACTGAGCTATATCCCCAATCCTTTTTATTTTAACTTAAGACAGGGTCTAGCTAAATTGCTTAGGCTGGCCTCAAACTTTCAGCTCTTCTGCCTTAGCCTCTTGCGTAGCTTGGGTTACAGGCATGCACCACTACACCCAGGCTAGTTTTCCTTTTTTAAGTTGTTGATCTCCAACTGTTAATCTTGGTAACATCCGTGTTAAGGCAGAACACTGAAAATCTGGCGAGGGTTCCACTTGTCTGCTTCCCTATGCTGCGCTTGCGCTGTGCCACCAACCAATGGCAATTGTTTTCACTTGCTGTGATGTTCCTCACCTGAGGGACATCTCCTCCGACTAGCTTTCCTGATGCTGCCTTTCAGGACCATGATAGTGAGCCAGGTGCCATGCTATTCAAGGGCAGGAATGGAGGCCTTTGGCCTGAAATCTTATTGAATGTAGGCAGAAGTAGTCACTGACAACTTGGCCTCAGCCCATATGGCAGTATCATAAGTCAGTGTCATAAGGTAAGTGTCATGAGACTCTCCCATGTACACGTCTTTTTAAGAAGTGCCTTCAAAAAGACAAAAGGATTTATGGGATATTTGGGGGTACCACAGACTTAAGAATCTTAAGAGAAATTATAAGCCCTTCCCTCCAAAAAATTACATGCATTCCAAAACTTTGCAGATAAATTTGTTATATGAAACTGAGACCACAAGGCCAAAATCATAAATTTTCATAGCTCCATCTTCTCTTCTGTGAATCTACCATTGGTCATAACAAATTTCTAACATAATCTCCTAATACACATCAACCATTGTTCTCAGTTTTCTGTCAATTAAAATATCCCAAAGGAAAAGTGAGACAATTCAGTTTTCCTGTATTAAAAAAATAACTGAACCTTCCTACAATCTAATCCAAAATAGACTAATGTAACACTTAGTTCTCTATAGTAAAGCCTTTCTTTTAAAATAAATAAACAAACAAACAGTTGCCCTCAAGGTCATATTATTAAACTTTGAATACAAAGTGCTGAAATTCTTCTTGAACTCCTTTTAACAAGACTGAGGTAATTATAAACTGTGTCAGATGTGTCTCTTGAGAGGACTTTTGAAACAAATACTTCTATGTGTGCATGTGACAATAGTATAAAATTTTTCATGAAGGTCAAGAGCTGGGTTTTAAGTCCAGTACTTCCTGTGGAATGGAATCCAAGGAGTTAAAGTCTTTGAAATAATTACACTCATGAATTTCCTACTTCTCATTAGCTTAATTTACTCATCATATATATACTTGAATCAATTTAATTTGTATACTATGTTGAAATTCTGCATAAAGAAATCAGTTTATGGAGTTGCAAATAAGCTATTATCATAGTGTCCATGTACACACACAATAAGAATTGGCTTTTAAGAAATGGGAATATAAAGATAAACCATAATATCCTTATCCAACTCAACTTTTGACCTGATGTCATTAAAACAAAAATTGGAAAATTCAAGGGCAGTGATGGTAAGGAATAAAGAGAGCTTAATGATTTTACTCAGAAATAGCTAATAACTTCCAGGGTTTAGAGAAGTAATTATTCTTGTAAACACAATTTAATTGGTAACTAGAGTGTTTATTTTGCCTTATCACAAAGACCAGATATCATTGATTCATATAAATCACTACTTTGCAAAATATTTTGAATATCAGATACAAAAATTCACCAGCTTAGCTTTTACTGATAAATACCTCATCTGCAAGTATCAATAATCCTGCTGCTGCTAAATATTTTGTGACTCAGAGAATTGATAGAGGCAGCTTAAGGATGCTACCAGTGGAAGACTTACAAGGTTAGGATTGGGGCTGGGAAAAGGAATCTCATTGCTAAGACTATTAATCCTGCCAAAAGAAGAGGGTGTTTTGATTAAATAAATGTGCATGTGCTCTGTTCCACAGCTTGTGTTTGCAGTAGATAGAATCATTATGATATTGGGCTCCCTAGATATTAGTACAATTACTTGACCTTGACTTAGGAGAAGTATTTTTTTTTTTTGCTAACATACTTTCATAACTTGTTTCTCATACCAAAATCAGATTTATGACCAGGATGTCTTCACCTGTTTACCTTGGTCTTCTCTTACTTCATATAATACATAATAAAATATAGAAAGAAGGAGAAAATGTTAAGAAACTAGGGGAAACTGACTGACTTCTATTACAAGTTTTGTGTAGAATAAATTATAAGATGCCTATAATCTTGGGTGGGTAGACTAGTTAACACATTCTATCTAAATAAAGCCAGATACACTAAGTGCTACTTTTTAAAGTGATGGCTAGTTTTAAAGGGCCTCTGGATTTAAAAGTGTAATATACCATTACATCATCTTAGGATCATGACTTAATTAAAAAATACATTTATGTACATGACTTCAGTGAAAACAACAAGGAACATTTACACATTGTAAGTCTAGGACTGTTATTAAAGTTTATTCTATTTCTTCTCTTTATAGAAGTAGTATACACTCATTTTAAGAAATTCATAAAAATTTAGAAACATACAAAGAAGATAAAAAGTAATAATCCCATCACACAAAAGTTATATTTAGGAACAGTGTGATGCAAATAAATATATTATAATGTAGATGCAATGTGTGCAGTTTTAATTGTGCTTGAGTAACCCTAAGGTCTTTGACATATAATCTGTTATAATATTTATGAGGACTGAATTTTAATCATGACTCTGATTTTGAATCCGGTTCTAAGCCCCGGTTGAAATGAGAAACTTATAGCTAATAATTACAACGGCTCAGCATCCTCACTTCATTGTGGCTCTGTGCTGTACTTGCTGTACATAAGCAATAACCAACAAATTATACTTCTCTGAATACAACAGAAATTATATGCTATGGAAATACTCCCACATTTAGAGATTCAAGCTTTGCTTTTGAATGTTAATTTCTATATTTCTTTCCCCATGTTTCTTTTCTTTCAGTCTTTTAATAGCATTTTTTTTTTTATTCTACAGGACAGAATTGTGCTTGAGAACTATCAGCTTCTATAGATATTTCCACAATAGGAAAACCTTTTCTTCCTGTCCCCACATGGGCAGGTCGATTTTCATTGAAAATGGCTTCAAGCTGGTTCTAATATTTACTCACTTATGCAGGTGCGTGCATCAGCATGGAGTCTGTATCCCGTATCACATTCACAGTGGAAGGTGCCCAGAGTGTTAATACAGCGCTGCTGGCAGCCTCCATTCACCACCGCACATTCATCGACATCTAGAGGAGGAAGACAGATGGCCAGGATTACAATGTCATTCCAATGTCAGCTTCGGAGAAGTGGCACAATATTTCTGTGATACACAGTATGTGTTATATTGTACAAAGGCAACATCTCTGTTGCCACAAATCTTTACCTGTTTGATCCACTTTGCTCTACTATGTAAACAAGAAAATGTAGGTAGAAACTTTATTGAGCTTTTTGAAGCCCAGAAACAATGAGCCTAGGAATTGTCTCACAGTTTTCTATTCTTCACACAGTAGATAATTAGACAGGTCCAAGATATATAGATATTTCCTTGTGGAAGAAAAACTGGAGAGAACAATTACAATGAGCTACTCTATCTGGAGCAGCACAAACTAGTAGATAAACACCTATTATTGGTCTGACACTGTTGAATAAAACCAGTAATGGAGTTAAGACCTTGAATCTCCTTCTCATATGCTGCAGTAGACGTCAGGGCAAAGACAGATAAATTCAAATAAAACCATGGTTTGGTGTCCTTAAAAACATATCAACACATTTGTTCCACTGATTCAGCTTCTTCCTTCTCATTCAAGCTGCCATTTTCTGAATCACCATGTTGATATGAAAGGTTACTTTATTTTTAGAAAAACCGGGTAGAGGTCAAGACTTATGATATTTTATGATATAATATTAATTTTTCATTAGGAAAAAATCAGTTCATCTCTGTGAACCTGTAGTTCCTTGTGCACTGTGTAATCAATATATATATATATATATATATATATATATATATATATATCATATAAAATACATATATAATCATAAAAAGAAAATATCCATAAAGCATAAGGCTATGGAGGGATTTTCAGGTAATCAGAGGACGAAGAACTTCTAAATGTTCTTGTTTCAGAATTTAAAAAAATAAAAATCTATGTCTTTGGCAAGTTCCAAAGAAAAAAATCATCTTCCAGTACAGGGTGGAGATTTAGCCTGGGGAAGTACAAGTCTCATGCAGAGAATGTCCTCATTTTTCCTGCTCTTCATCCCAGATTTTGCAGCAAAGAATGTTGGGTGTGAATATTCTTCACCAAAATATAAATCATGGTACAAGACAATTATCAGGATAAAATACATTGAGTGACATTCATTCCACAAGGCAAGTTCCTTATTCAAGAAGACATCAACATGGAGGATGAATACTATTGCAATGACTCACAATAACTGACATGCAAAGATCTCATGATATGTAATGAATGTTTTATATTAAAATAAAGATGCAAGATATGAGTGAAGGGAAACAAAAGAGCTTTCTTTTACCTGGCATTGCTTTTTGTTGTTTTTTTTTTAATATAAAAAGAAAGAATTAAGAAGAACATATTAAGTCCTACACTTTAAAACCAGGAGATCACTATATCTTGCACAATTTAGTATTTTCCTTCAAAAATAAGTTAGTTTGGAGTAATCCCTGATATTTTAAAGAAATTTTATTTTAGATATGAGAATTACTGACTTTTCAAAGAACTAGAATTTTTATTACATTTTGAGTCTATGATAACCAAACCTCTAGGTCTTTTTTTCATATAAACTAATATTAAACCAGAACTCTCCATTTGTTGCCTATATTTTATGCAGGACTTAATATTTATGCAGGCTAAACTTTTATCTTTCTATCTTTAGGGCATTATTCTGCAGAGTTGAGATATAATTTTGAATCTTAACTCCATCAACCTGTGACTTAGATATCTTTCCCAGTTTTTTTTTTTTTTTTGGACATATAAATGAAACTCTTAATTCCCAAGAGTATTTCATTTCACATGATAAGTGACTTTGCCACCATTGAGAATTATATTGCACACTATTTATATGTTCTTGAGCACACTGAAAAATATTTTAAAGTATGTTCACAGATATAAATAACTGACTGCTACTGAGAATAGGGAGTCTGAGATGGGCATATTGGAATTGAATGACAAAAAGATTTTTGTCAAATGTATAGTGTTCTAATTTTTTCAAGAAAAAGTTGTCCTTGTGTTACTTTCATAACAACAACAACAACAAAAAAAAACAATTTTGAAGAGGTGGGAGGGAAAGGGAGAGAGAAGAGAAATTGCATGGAAATGGAAGGAGACCCTCATTGTTATACAAAATTACATGTAAGAGGAAGTGAGGGGAAAGGGAAAAAAAACAAGGGGGAGAAATGAATTACAGTAGATGGAGTAGAGAGAGAAGATGGGAGGGGAGGGAAAGGGAGGGGGGATAGTAGAGGATAGGAAAGGCAGCAGAACACATCAGACAGTAGTATGGCAATATGTAAAAAAGTGGATGTGTAACCGATGTGATTCTTCAATCTGTATACGGGGTAAAAATGGGAGTTCATAACCCACTTGAATCAAATGTGTGAAATATGATATGTCAAGAACTATGTAATGTTTTGAACAACCAATAATAAAAATTTTAAAAAAAGAAAGAAGTATAATCTGACCACCCTGACCACCTCCTCCTGACTCACCCATGAAGTTTTAATAGCTTTTCATCAAAGAAACAAAGTTAGTAAAAATAAGAAAATCTCTGCGTTCATTCCAAAGACAAGAGTGGGCATAGATTTTGAGAACGAAATTTCTCTCAGTATGTTTTCGTGTTTCCACATCATTAATCAACACCAGAGTTATAATTAAATAGTATATTCTGTTTGAAACACAAACACAGGCTCATGTACCCACACACCCAAAGACCATCTAAATTTCTCTGTACTTTTAGACAGATGGTCACAGGAAAAATAGTTTAATTATTGAATCTTACATACTTGTCACCTGGCCTACCTGAGACTCAATTTTCTCACCTATAATGGGAACAATGATAGTCACATGTACTATGCTATGATTTTCTTCTCTATTCATATTTAAGATTTTGATGTAGATTGTTAATTCTTGATTACATAGAGAAATTAAACAACAGGTAATTTTACTTCACTAAATGGTAGATCTTACATAAGACCATAAAAGAAGAGACGTGAGCCATATGGGAATAAGGGGAGGGATTCATTTTTCTTAGGGTGAGAAGGGAATGCTCAAGGCGAAAAATGAGAACTGAGTGCTTAGAGAAGTGAGTGGACAATCCATAGATGCAGTGGTTAAAATGTGCACAGTGTATAAAATTCATCATTTCGATCTGTCAGGCTGGAGAATAGGGTTGGTAAAAGGAAGTAGTTGAGAAACAAACATATAACCTTTTTTAATTAATTGGGATAGTAAAGCATTCCTCTTCTTGATTAACAATACAATACACTTCTGGGCAGTTGGAGCCGTAATAGGCTGTGTTCACACAGTAGCAAAGCAAACTTATTAAAAGTTAAAAAAAAAATCAATCATTTATAGAGTGGTACCAAATGCTAAGTAATTGGTTTGACTTTTTTTGTTGTTGTTGTTTCAGAATATACTGAATTAGCTGATTATTTGGGCATTGTTTAATCGATAGTTCTCAAACCTGGTAGCTCATTAGAATAACTTGGTGAGCATTTAGAAAATACAGAGGTTGTTCAATCCCTAGTACTATTAAAAAAGAAAGAAAGAAAGAAAGGGTTACATTCTTACAGGGTCTGATTTAATTGATCTGGGTATAAGCCTGGGAATCAAAACATTTTACAAGTACTCTAAGTGATTGTAATGTGTAGCCATAGCCAAAATCACATTGTGTAGATAGGACTTCAATTACCAGTGTATTTTATTAAAAATGCAGATGCTGATTCTGTAGATCTGGTGTAGTTCTGAGAATCTGCATTTCCCACTTGATTCAAGATAAATCTGATGCTATCGATATGTGGACCATATTACAATTGGCAAGAGTAAAGATAGTCTTCTATTTAGCCATAACTGTCACGAGAATATGATGGTTGGCTCAACTTCTTAGTTGCTTGACTGACTCAGACCAGTTCAGTCCAAATAAATTCTCAATCAAAATACTTAAATATATAAAAATGTACATATTAGAATAAATAAAATTATAAAATATTTCAACTATTTACCACAAACCTCCAAAATAAGCTATCAATATTTTCCACAACATTCTTTCTAATAATTAATAACTTTAAGACAATTTTGGCATTATCTGTTGTGAGAAATGATTCACTTCCGTAAATGAAGTAAAACATGAAGGAAACTTTGCTTCTTTTTTGATAGAGTACCTCTGATATAGGATAAAACCGGGTTAAATTGCTATGATATTAGATACTCAGGCTGAAGCTGTCACAAGTGATTTTCTTTTTCATCAAGATTCTGCTCCACAGAGTTAAAAACCAGAAATGTCAATATTACATTAAAATGTTATTATCAAGTATACTTCATGTGAAGAAACAATTTCTTGAAAAATTCTCTGAGTTATATCTTCATGTTAGATGCCTCCAGAAAGCCCTGCCCTTAGAATTGGAACTCCAGGACACTGCTGGGAATAATGACAAAGTGATTAGAATTTTTTCAGTATTATCACTATGATACGGACCTAGGATTTCAGAATATAAAAAAGACTGTCAAAAATCAACTATGTTTGCTATTTTTCTTTTTAATATCTTTTTGGCTATATTTATCTCCCCAAATATTTCCCCAGATGGGCACAGAATTTAATAGCTTAAAGGAATTCACTTTATTATCAAAATGTATTTTGCACATAAAAGCTCCCTGAGACAACAATGATCCACTGTTGTTACCAAACAACCAAAGTTGGATCATATTATTTTTCTTAGATTTTGTGACTGTTTACACGAGAACCACAGTAAGACAAATTATGCTTCCATTTGCATTTTAACATACTGTTCTCAGAGAGCTGCTCATTGAAAAATAAGTATTCTTGGGTTTGCTTATGTTAGAGATTGCATTGTATAAGAGTTAGATATGGAGGAAATATCAAATGGTATGGTAAAGACACCATTATGTTTCCTATGTGGCCTTACTTTTACTAAGTGGCAATTACTCCAAATATCAAAACTTCTGATGTTTACTTATAATTCTATAGTGTGTGATAGGAAAAATACCTTGAAGTC